TATTTAAAATTCCCTCATCATGAACAAGAGGCAAACTTCATTTTTGTTTTTGCATCCCTACAATTATCATTGTTGTTAGTTGCTATTGTTATTAAAGGGTGACATTTCTCTGATTTCTTTCTCAGCACATTTATCTTCTGTATATAGTAGGGCTACTGATTTTTTTGAGTTAATCTTGTATCCTGCCACTTTGCTGAAGGTGTTTACAGCCATATCACCCTTGAACGCACCCGATCTCTCTGTCTGTCAGTTGCATTTCTAAGGCTGCTGCAATTTCTAGGATTGGGCTCCTTTTTCTGTTTTGGGATTTTTTTCTTTCTGGTCTTTGTAACCTGAATTGCTTCTTGCCAAAGTACTTTATGTTTATGAGACAGTTAAGATATGGAGTTAAATCTTTTGGTATAACATTGTGTTGAGATGAGGTTTCACTGTGTAGCCCTAGCTGTATTGAAACTCACATTGTATACCATGCTGGCCTCAAAATTCAATGCGCCTGCTTCTCTGCCAGCATGTGCCACTGTCACTGAATGTGTTCAATTTTTTAGAGGCTTTCTCTAGCACCTTTACCAATCCCAGAATTTAAGTTGAGGATCCAGAGTTTGAGGCTAGCCTGGGCTATAGGAGACCTTAAAAAAATAGACAAGGTAAGCTGACTTCTAAAAGCAAACTTCAAAATTAAGCTTTGCTTAAGAAAATATCTTAGGTTTTTTGGTACTTGGATTTTTGTTTGAGCCTATCTTGGAACTCACTCTGTAGACCATGCTGGTCTTGAACTCAAGAGATCAACCTGCCTGTATCCCAAGTGCTGTGATTAAAGGTGTGCACCACCATTGCCAAGCGGATTTATCTTATTTTTGTTTGACAACCTACATGGTTAACCAACACCTCATTGTATACCCCACGAATGCAGCTTCCTGAGTGCTAGGCCTACAGGCTGCTGTTACAATCCCCAGTTTAAGATTGTACTTCTCTAGTGACTAATTCATTTAATATTTAAAATTCCCTCATCATGAACAAGAGGCAACTTCATTTTTGTTTCTGCATCCCTACAATTCGAAAGCAAGGGTGTTCTTTGGGTCATATATGGGAACTTAACCTCATG